CTGGGAAGCCCGCGCGCTCAGACCTCGCCCGGGGGCTGTGCGGGGCAGACCCGGGTGCTCGCCGGCCCGGGGCGCGTCTGCCAGCTGCTTGGTTGGGGCCTGGCTGAGAGGGCGGCGCCAGGCCGGGGGTCGCTGAAGGACTTGGGGGCAGAGTCAGGTCNTTGAGTATATTCCCTATGCTGTACTTTGCATGCCCCTGACTATTCTGTAACTACCGATTTGTACTTCTTAATCTCTTCACTTTTTCACCCAACTCTGCCCCCTCCCCCCCAATATAGCATCTGTCAAAATGTTGGTGACAGATGCAGCCAGACACTGGACCTTGTTTTTTGCCCCCCCCCCATTTGTTTGAAAAGCTTTGAAACTTTATAGACATAATATCTATGGCAACACAACAGGTTACCCTAAAATGTAGTGACAGCCACCTCTGATCTGCCTTCTCAGAGGTGGTGGGATCAGGAGGCCCAGAGAAGGGCCAGTGGGCAGCTCCGTGGTGGGTGACACCAGGGCCTTGTTTATTTTTACCTTTCTAGGTTTTGCTAGTTTTTTCATTACATGTGTAAAACTAAATGGCAAGTTAAAAATGCTTTTTTCTTGCCTGTGGTATCAGTGCTGTGGGCAAGGGCTGAGCTGGGCCAGCTGTGGAGATGGGTGAGATCCACCTGGGGTACTGACCAGGGCAGAAGCCAGTCCAGGGGTGGGGATGAGAGGAAATGGCCCCTGGGAGGTGCAGGGACAGCACTGTGGCCCTTGGTGGGCACCACCAGGGGAGGATGAGGCTCTGGCAGTCCAACTTCTACTGAGGACACTCCATCTCTTGCAGGCTACTATGTGGGCATGTGCTTTGCAGCCTCAGAAAAGCGGCTCTACTCCCCAAGCCAGGCCCCGGAGGCCTGGCGGCTCTTCCTCCTCCTAGCGGTGACCCTGCCCACCATCGCCTGCACCCTGATCTACTACTGGTCCTGGGACCAGTGGGCCCGCCACCCGCTGGCCCGCACCCTGGCCCTCTATTCCCTCCCACAGTCTGGCTGGCAGGCGGTTGCTTCTTCTGTCAACACCGAGTTCCGACGGATTGACAAGTTTGCCACAGGGGCACCAGGTGCCCGAGTGATCGTGACAGACACGTGGGTGATGAAGGTGACCACGTACCATGTGCATGTGGCCCAGCAGCAAGATGTACACCTGACCGTGACCGAGTCTCAGCAGCACGAGCTCTCGCCAGACTCGAACCTGCCTGTGCAACTCCTCACCATCCGTGTGGCCAGTACCAGCCCTGGGGTGCAGGCCTTTGACATCCGGTAGGTGTGCTTGTGATGGGGCGGGGGCTGGGCTGGGGCTGCACAGAGGCCTTGTGCCCAGCTTGCACCTGGTCTGGTGTTTGTGTACTTCTAGGAGGCGAAGGTGGGTGGGAGTGGCCTCTCCAGTGTGACCCTCCATCAAGGTCCCCACAACCCACCCCTGGCCTCCTCCCTGGCGTCTGTTCCCCTTGTGCCCCCTCAGGGACCCTCCTACTTCCCCTTTGTTCATGCTGTTCTCTGAGCTGCCATCTGCCACTTTTCAGGGGAGCACACTGAGACGTTTGGGGGCTGGCTGGGACAGAGGCTTGGTGGCTGCCTCACCTCTGAAGCTTAGGCTGGAGCCGAGGTCCTCCCATACTGTTCAGCCATGGCTAGCCTGTGGGGACCCTCCCAGGACATGCTTTCGTCATGAACCTGCCAAGGGCCAGGCTCTGTGTCTCAGCTGCAGTCCTGCCTGCATCCAGTGGGGGCGAGCAGGTGGCAGTTGGTCTGTGGGCTCTGACTTAGGGGCAGCTTTGTTGGCTGGTTTTCATTGGGCAGCTGGGCTAGGCCTGGGCCTCCATGTTCTGTTGGGCTGTGAGCACCCTAGTCACATCCAGGGTGCGAGGGTGCAGCCTTGGCCTCCCTGATACCCACCCCAGGGTGTTTTTTTTAATCCTCACCAGAGGATATTTTTTCCCTTGCAATTCAGAGAAAGTAGAAGGGGGAGAGAGAGGGAGAG